TTTGAATGAAAACATATAAAATGATTATTTTAAGTTAAAAATGCGTTTTAAAATAAAAGGAACTATTTTCAATAAGTTTTAAGTTTTTATATCTGTGATCTGTCTATGTGTTTTAGAAAAGTTTGAAATTTCTTTCGCTTTACGTCATTATTAATTGTATTAACTAATATGATTTTGATGCTTAACTTCATGAACTACACATTATTATCGCATTTTTGCTAACGTAAAATTTGAAACCACCTGAAAATAGACCGTAATACATTTTATCGTCTTTATTTTCACTCGTTTTACCCATGTTGGCGTTCCACGTGTAAGAATTAACATCTAAATTGTTATAGTACACGTGTACTATATTTACTATAAAGGCTACATGTGATAGACGTTTATAAAAAATATGAATTGTTATTTCAGCTTCAGTATTAACTTGAATTGAATTTTATTTTTGTTTGAGAGAATTATTTTAAGATTATAAATAAAATGTGAGAAACATGTTCGATTGAATAAAAGAGCGTTATACTTGTTAGCTCCACCTATGTTCTCAAGCTAGAAATATTTTTACGAACTACTGAACTTTATATAAAATCAAATTCAAGTTGACTATATGAGTTCGTCTTAATATTTGAAAGAAGTGGGCGAAAAAAAGTATTAAGGAAAAAAATAAAATTCCAAGAAATAATCAAAAGCTCAAGACCATTCAAAATTGCTATATACGTAAAGGACGTTCAAAACAAATTGATCGAACTCGAACAACAAAATAGTATTTCTTCGACAATTTTGAAAGTGGTGAAAGGAGGCGAATCTATAGATGAAAGCAATTTAATAAAATTCAACACATGAGAACATTTTTTTATATAAAAACTTATTTATTTACGTATTTATTATTTCAAACGTTTTCAATTTGAAAAATTAGGTAACATAAAAGTTTGATAACAAATTAGCAAAAGGCAAATTTAGCGATAACACAAAAATTGTCATTAATCTCCTTTTGTTAAAACTGAATAAATAATAATTATAAATAATAGAAACGCTGAAATTTACTCTATTAGATTCCTGTGGCACGTATTATCGATTTTTTATTTGAGAAAAAAAATAAAAGTTTTGTATGGGAGGCACCTTTATTTTTGGTTGAAATTTCATGAAACTTGGTGATATTACTTATTTTGGTCAGAAAATAAGATTCACAAGTTTTCATGGTGATTGGGTCACTGCAATTTTTCATGATTTTCCAGTAAAATGTACCTCCATTCCTTTCAAGTCGCTGTCTTATATGGAACCGTAAGTTGAAAATTCCTTAATATCTTGAATCTGGGAACTATAAGACATGTTTTTCCAAGTGGCCATAAAATTATGCCAAAAATGTTCCACCCCATTCCTTATCATTTGTTGAATGAATTTATTGAATTATTTAATTACGTCACTGATCTGTTAAATCATATGAAATATATGAAAAATACAGATACTGCACGAAAATGTCCAGATCCAAATGAGTTTTCAGCTGCTCTTAATCAAATACTTGAAAGAGAAAACGACAATATGAAAAAAATTAAAACACACAAATAAAAATCAAAAGTTCACTATAATTTTAATTTTTTTAATTTGCACATAAAAACACATGAAATGATTATTCAAAGTTGTAAATGTATTCAAAAATAAAAAAAGATATTTTCATTAACTTTTTGTAATCTGTCTATGGGTTTTGGAAAAGTTTAAAATTGCTTTTGCTTTCCTTATGAAATGCTCATTAATAATTCTATTAATATGATTTTGAATTTTATCAAAAAATCATTGAATATAGGAAAAGTCTTTTATGACCACGTCAAATTTGAAAACAACTGAAAATATACATTAATACATTTTATCGCTGTTATTTTCACTCGTTTTACCCATGTTAGCGCTCCATGTGGGAGATTCTTTTCTACATCCATTATGGATGATCCATATTATTCTATTACGATAAAAGTCACATGTGATACATTTTTAAATAAGTTATGGATTGTGATTTTTGAGATAGTAACTTGATGATTAAATTATCAATGCTTTTGTTTAAGTTCATTTCAGCTTCAGTATTAACTTAAAATATTTGCTGATTTGTGCTTCCACCTATGTACTCAAGTCGGAATAACTGTGTACAAACTATTGAGCTTGATCAACTACGTGGATTTAGCTTTTAATACGGGATAGTTTGCTTTATTTATGTTTATTGTGAAAATCTTTAGAGGTAACTACTTATTGTTTCTATTGAGATGTAATACTATTTTGAGGAGACGACTTTCAAATATTCTGACTTGAACAAAGACATACATTTACTATATTTTAACCATGTCGATTATTTTTCGGCATTTGCCACGAATTCTACGAAAATATCATTTTTATGGTAATACTAATCATTGCTAGTATGAACTTGTTTGTGCACAAAAAAATAATCAGACAAAGCGCACATTTGATAAGCAATCTTTAAATAACCGAGTCAATTAAAACCAATTAATGAATCATTGCAATCCATTTTATAAGTAGTGCACACATAAAATCGGTCAAGTTATATGGATCATCGGTTAAATTGGAACAATGCAGCAGTCGCAAATTTTTTTCGCTAATCAATTGTAAATAAACATATATATTTTGATCATTATTCTAGAATATATTATGACGTCTTAACAAATCAATGACGCATTCATCTATGAATTTAGATTTTAAACTTTGACCCACTAATAGTATTAAGAATAATACTAGATGTTTGTTTTTGGCAATTCTTCCACTTTGGCCGATTTTGTGCTTATATTTTCGTTGGCTTCACTTTGATCATATATGGATTCAAATATCGATAGAGCTGGTAGATGTTTATCCTCCTTAAATTTTAAGTATCGAAATAATCCAGAATAGGAATCGTTGATTTTTGAACGAATGAAATTCAATTCTGCTATCTATACACCCGCAATCAAAGTCATCTGAATTGTGTGACAGTCAACAAGTTCGCCAGACTTAATGTTGTCTGTCGTTGTGCGAGTGTATTTGGCGTTAGTTGATGAATTGAATGGAAAAAGAAAACAAAATGACATTCCAAATTAAATCGAATAGAAAGCAATTGAAGTGATTCAATGGTGTGTAGTGAGAAATCGATTGCCGACAAACATTGAATTGAACATTCTCGTATTGGACATCGACGAGACATGTCAAATAGATTTTGGTTCATCTTTTAATATTGAACCATAGATATTTTTTTCTCGATTCATTCGCATCAAAGTCAATCGATTGATATCAAGCTGCAATTTATTTTATAGACCGTTAGTTTTCTAGTGTCTTTTTGTGATACATATTGGAAAAAAAATGTTGACTTTTCTACTGTTATTAAGTCTGGTGTTTGGTGTTTTATTCGTACTGTATGTTTACATCCAGTTTCAAAAATCGTTTAAGCTGTGGTCTTCACAGGGAGTGCCAACGATCCCACCTTCATTTCCATCAGGTCATTTAGATTCACGAATGGCCTACATGAACTTCGGTTTAATGGCAATCGATTTATATAAAAAACTCAAATCAAAAGGTGACTACGTTGGCTTGTATTTTTTGAATAAGCCCGTATTATTTGTGCTTACGCCCGAATTTGCGAAAACTGTTTTGGTACGTGATTTTTCGTATTTTGTAAATCGAGGTGTGTATTTTAATAAAGAAGATGATCCACTGTCTGCCAATTTATTTTTCATTGAGGATAGTGATTGGCGTAGATTGCGCATTAAAATGACACCAACTTTCACCAGTGGAAAAATTAAAAACATGTTTTTCACGATAAAAGATGTGGCCGACGAAATGGTAAAACATTTAGAAACGAAATGGCAAAACAAAAGAGCAAATAGTGAATTCAATATTGAAATAACTGACTTGATGGCACGATACAATACGGATGTAATAGTTTCATGTGCATTCGGCACACAGTGTGACAGTTTGTCCAATTCAAAATCAGAATTTCGTGCGGTGGGTAAAAAAATGCTAACATTTAGTCGTATTCGTTTATTAAAACTGTATGCGGCCATGCTATTTCGACGACCGGCACGAGCACTTGGCTTTCGATTGTTGCACAATGATGTATCGGAATTCATAATTGCAATGTGTAAAAAAACGATTGAAGAACGCAAAGCGAAACATATCGAACGGCGCGATTTCATGCAATTGATGATTGATTTATACCGTGAAGACAACGACGATGTAAACAGTGATGGTGAAGGTCTATCGCTGAAGGATATCGCAGCACAAGTGTTTTTGTTCTTTTTTGCTGGATTTGAAACTTCATCGACAGCAATGACTTATGCACTTTACGAGCTTGCTTTAAACAGGGTGATTCAAGATAAAGTGCGCACCGAAATAAATGACGTTTTAAGTCGTCATGGTGGTAAAATCACCTATGACAGCTTAATGGAAATGACTTATCTCGATCAAGTGATTTACGGTGAGTTGATACTCAAACAATACTGTCTGCGTGTGATTTTTGCGAAGCACTCTTTTCAAACAACACAGCCCATAGTACATTCTACCACTTCCGTGGTGCTTTAAAGTTTACTTTCCATTTTTTTGTTATGTATTTTGTACATTTTTTTTCTCTTCCATTTCTCACGTTCGTTTTCTTTTTCTTGTTCTTGGTATTATATGTCTTGCATTTGAAAACACTCGATGAACTCGATTGCACAAATAATATAGAAACGATGCGGATGCATCCGGCAGTCGGGACACTACATCGAATCATTAGCAAGGATTATACACTTCCCAATGGAGCCGTTGCACCAAAGGGCACTTACGTGATTATTCCGGCTGTTGCATTTCACAACGATGCTGAATTGTTTCCAGATCCGCAACGTTTTGACCCAGATCGTTTTAGCGATGCAAATAAATCGACACGACATGCGTTCGCATATCTGCCATTTGGTGAAGGACCTCGAATTTGCCTTGGCGTACGCTTCGGCATGTTGCAAACAAAACTCGGATTAGCGATGCTGTTGAAACATTTTCAATTTGAAACTTGTGCAAAAACTCAAATTCCAATTAAAATTGATAATGTTTCGTTACTATTATTACCATCATCGGGAGTTTGGCTGAAAGCGAACAAAATGTAACCGACAGACAGATACACACACACATACACACCACCCATTTTGACTTTTCATCTCTTCTTTTACTGCTTGATCGCGTTAGATTTTTTTTGTTAATGAAAATAAAAGAACTCAACTCAAAACATGAACATCCCACACATTGTACTTCACGTTTTTTGCTTTTCAATTAAAAGTGAGTTATGCAGTTTTTCATTTAATGCATTTTTATTTTGTTTCATTTTTCAAACGAGTTTCCGGCTTTAGGTGCGCGATTTTCATAGATAAAAGATGAAATCATGAACAACCCCGAAGCCATAACCTTGATTGACTTATTTAAAAACAAATTGCAATTTTCGTCGACATTGTCAGAGGGAGATAGAGATACTTTTTCTTCGTTATTATTAGTTTATAAATTGCAATGTGGAAAGTTTGTCGTGATTGAAAACAACAATGTGTTGGCGATCTAGAGCACCTGCATTAAAATTATGCTATGTTGGTTCTAAGCTATCAAATTTCACTCTTCGGGAATTTTCAAATAATAGCTTTGTGCAGCTGAGGAAAGTGCCCCGTGTAACAAAGTTTCAATTAAATGTCAATTAACTGTTGAGCTTTTGAAATTGTTTATTTTTTGCTGTACTTGTGGTTCTCTTCTGGAAGTTCCCAGTGTATCATTATTCAAAAATAGTTTTCGCCCCATAGTGCAGCATATGTGTTGTAATGAAAAAATACTTTAACCACATCACACATGGGCATAAAGAATTTACGAGCACACATACACTATCTCTTATACTGTGCACTCATTAACGTTCGCTTGCATGAAAAAAAAATCTAGTTACACTTTTTCCATGCTGGGAGTAAAGAAACCAGGTGGAAAGCTGATTATATCTCCCTCATAGAATTCATTGAGAGATTCTGTTTTTTTTTTACATTAATCTGTGTATTATATGTTTATGGAACAATTGTGCGCACATACAGACATTTTATTTATGTGGATAAAAGAAGTTAATTGAAATTAATTGATGGAAAATCCCCATACTAAATATTACGATGCATTTGAAAAAAGGGTCATAATCCATATCTCAAGCAAGCTTTGTTAATTTGTTTCAATGAATGGGAGAGACAGAGAGAACACACCGCTTGAGTCGTAATAAGAGTAGCTATTCATAGCGACGTTGGAATATTTGGTTATGAAATATGTACGGCAGGTGTCTTGAAAGGTAACAAAGCAACGGAACATGTAAGTGATATAAAGAAGCCGCTTCAAGTTATACTCGGAAAACATAATTTGTACACATATTATATGGGGTGATTTTCGTCACATGAAGGTAAGCTAAATACTTAACATATAATATAAATTGGAAAACTCCAGCACGGCATAGATACGTAAGGTTAAAATTAGAAAATATAATTCTCTGTATGACTACATGAATTGTTTTGGAATTGCTATGAACAACGGAACACTTTATAAATCCTTTGAAACAGCTGAGACATCAGTTGGTAAATGGCATCAAAACATTTATGGAAAATTGACGAATTCATCCACAAATTAAAATGGTATACATAACAAGTGGAATACTTACAATTATTTTGTGGTTTAAATTTTGTTATTTCCGTTTGTGGCAGCCAAAACAAAATGCGTTATTATTAACAAACATAATTCTTAATTTGGGGCGATTCTGAAATGAGCGACGAAGGGGAACCGAAATAATAAAATAAAGGAAAAAAAAACAACAACAAAAATAACAAGAGCAGCATTTCAAATTTTGGCATGTGTTTGTATGTGCACTGTGCACCATATAGAAGTTTTAAGTGTATTAAATGATAATCAAACAAAACTGCATTTAAAACAGCCACAGACCGATTGCACTCCATGCATTTGCTAGTTGCTACGCAAAATTGTAAAAGTTTTGTTCAATTTTCCAAAAGCATTTACATTTTAAATTGCAAAATCAACTTTTCAAACGAAAATAACATGCAAATAAATCATCATCGTCATCGTTGGTTCGTTTCTCGTATTCGACTTTTCGACATATTTGACACCGCATTCATTCATAATCCATTGGATTGCTGTGGAAGCCCTTAAAATAATTTTGTTTATTTTTTCTATGTTTAGTACTCATACAAACACACACTAGAACAATTAATACACAGTAAAAACACCACTAAATCAAATATTGAAACGAAAAATGTACGCAAAAAAGTCACATCAACACATTTCGTACTTTTTTGAAAGAAACATTGATTTATTTATTGACTTATGTTTTTAATGCATTCATATTAAAGGATTGAATTTGAGTACATAAAATTACACGCCCAAACAAAATGTTTACTTTGGTTTGAAATTTGGCATCACACAACATTTTTTTTACTACTTACTACTTTGCTGTACTCATTCACAACAAGTTTCTGTTACTTTTTTCGTCGCAGGTTTTCAGTGTCGATTCTTTTTGTATTAAAATTGAAATCTGTTGCTAACTTGTATGTTTTATGCACACGTATATCAAGGAAAAATGAACAAAAACTTCATGCTTGCTATAACATGTTGTGTGTCTTCATTGTTCTTGAGTTTGAAGTGAAAACGATGCCAAAAGCAGATATTTCGTTTTTTAAGACCAAAATATTCGAATAAATGCAGGTAGTTTTTGGCACAAATATTCCGCTTGAAACTTTTGTTCGTATTTAATTTCAGTATCGAAATGAATATGTATTTTTGATTTCTCATAAGATTTCGTTTCATATAAAAACAAAAATCCAGAACTTACAAACTTCAACATCACGAATAAATATGCATATTAGCAATATAAGTTTTGATGAATACTTCTAAATGGAAGCAATCCTGATCATGATGCAACTGACACTTCACTCAGTTGCAATGTCTCTGAGCTAACAATTTGTTTATATCATGTCAATTGATATAACAACTGAATGTGATAAATGTTGAAATATACGTCGATACTTTTCATCAGGTCATGATTGTTACACGATTCGAAACGAGGAACTCAAAAAGTGTTTCCAGCAACAACTTTGAAATCGATACTTTCAAGAGTCAACGATCTATCATGAAAAGTTAGCGTAAAACTTTTGCTAAAATGAAACGTTCATGCCAATTCACGTGATAGGTATGTTATTTGTCACGGAGAAGTTTCGATTTGGTGTTTTGTTCTGTTTATTCCATTTGTTGTATAAACTAATCGCCAACTTTGAATCAAACACCTCGTTATTTTCCTTATTTTATGGTGAGAAAAAAAAAACATTGCTGGTTTCGTCTGAAGAAATGTGGTGGCATTGAGCAGAAGTTTCTTCCATAAAATATGAATAACATTATTGTTTGCAAACATTCAATTGCATGTTGTTGTAGGACATTTTTTTCCGCCTGGCATTGGCATTATTTTTCTCGTTCTTTTAATCTTGAATTAGTTTCCATGACAAAAACTGAAAGAAAGATGTCTACGAATAAAATTAATGCTAATGTCAGAATACGAATAGTCTTAACGGACAAACTCTGCGAACTATTTTCATACATATTTAATGCTGAATAGCAACTTTTACCGTGCGATTTGATGACCTTCTACAGATATTTTCCTTGGCCTCATTTCCAGGAGATTCGCTCTTACAAGGATGTGAGAGTGTTTCCGATAGGACGCACACACATATATCTATTCAAATATCATGCGGAATTTGTCACCTAAATTATTCAGCTAAGTTCTGCAAATGAATTCAAATTTTTGGTACGCCACAATGACCATACTTCTAGAATGAAAGTGCAACTAATGGAGAACATGCGTCGACTGAAATTCAAAATCATTTCATTTGTTCAATTTATTTTCAATAATTTATCCGAAATTCATCGGGTATCTCAATTTTGGAATTTGTGTGTCAGTTGCCATTTGATCTATTGTAATCCAATTCAAGTACTCGGTTAACAAAACTTTAAACTTGTGCACTTTAAACTTGATTCGTATCTACCAATACCACCACTATCGATAGATATGATTCGCCGGATGTGTACAGATTGGAAGTGTTTCGCATCGCTGCTCAAGATAAGCATGTTTCAATTGTTTTACACGTGCAATTCGGAAATTGATGCATTATATGTAGCATTTTGCTTGTGCTCGTAAGACCGTTCATTGAAGATTCTATGCTAATATTACTCTATCATGCAAACCATCGACAATATTTACCTCGAGCAATATGTTCTATTCTCCCCAAACCCCATTTCGTGTCTTTTTGATCAAAACCATATCGAAGCTATAACTAACATTCATACTAATATCAATTTGAAACTTGTTTTCACCGATGAAATTCGATTTTATGCGTGATATTATGAACTGGAAATTTATTGGTGGGTTTCAAAAGATAGAGCTCTCCACCATTCTCAATAGTCAATTTTGTAAGAGTATATTCCTTCAGAGAAAATTCACCATTTTCTCTGAATTCCACTTCATTTTTCATGATATTATGTCTTTTTAGCATGAATATCTATATTAATGGCAACTACAAAAATAAACAACACATCAACCACGTATCAAGCGAAAAATGAAAACGGAGATACTATATTCAAGCTTTCACAGTTTTCTTTTCAGTCTTTTTTTTTTAACCTTAAAGGTATAGTGCATCCGCACTGAATTTCAATTAAAAACATTTGCATAATTTTTCGAAACATACAATATGAATCAAAAGTGTCCGCTGTATGCTCGCATTACTGGCATACCGCCCTTGAGCCGAGATTATCTCGCATACGAAAAATTCCAAGCACATGTTCCGACACCTAATAACACATCTGCTGTAATCGACATGGTTCGTCTCTTGCACGTTTCGGTGTCAAGCGTGCACTTTACCCAACGACGATATGTCATCAAAAGAATTTCACAAAACAGAGGAAAATGCTTCACATCCTTTATCACATAACAGAATTTTCATCTCTATCAATAAATTTTTTGCTTCGTTTCAATCTTTCATGCAACAAACGAACGAAAAGCGCAAACACATGGCATTTCTTCAAGACGGCGTTATAGTTTTTCTTTCTTTCTCTTTTTTTTTTTGTACAACAAAAGACTAATGCTATTCAAAGTAATAAACGATGGCGCTTTCCATTACAACATCAAGCTTACTCAAAGTATTCTTTACAAGAACTTCAACGGCACAATGTACAACAACACCATGATTGCATGATGCAAAGAGTTTGAACGCGTTCACCCACATTTACTGTGATCTAATTACAAAATTTAATGTGAAAATGTGTTTTATGCTGTAATTTAAAAGAAAAATCCTATTTAACATCAAGCAAATTAATATAAATTCAGTGGGCAAACGCATCCAATCAGTGCATACACGTTTTTACCACTTTACCTAGATTTACGGCGCAAAAACTCTCACACGCCAAAGTGAGTGTATGTGATGATAACACCTACAAAAAAAATGTATGTGAGCAAAAACATTAAAATTAGCGGTTAGTAAAATTAAACCACTTTTTACCCGAAACAAAAAAAAACTGAATGCTCTGCATGCACTGAACATTGCAACGAATGCAGCAATGCAGCCAGCGTTATATAAATTCTTAAATTCATCAACAGATAATATATTTTAATAGCATCATAGAAATAAATTAATGAGTCTGGTGGAGCAGACGTAATAAATACGATGAGGTGCGAATATTCGGGCGCATTGTATGGTACGTTAGCCGCCTGAAATCAAATTACACCTGAAACGGTTTTTTTATCTTCACTCTCAGTCTATTTTTGTTTCCCTTGGCCGATGAAACTTGATTAACACTACCAAAGAATCTGCATATTTTCACCGAAAGAATCTCATCATTGACATGACCAAAACGATGAACGAACGAAAATGCAATGTGCTTAAGAAATAAAATTTGCGGCAACGGTACTGATACTAATTGAAAAGTACCAAGCTTTCAGTAAAACTTCTTTCAATTTTTGCGTTTTGGATGCACAAACTGAACGCGCGCGCCTTTAATCACGTACATATATAAAATAGCGATGAGAGACTTGCATACAGTGACACTCTCACTTATCATTAACTTTCATCGACTTTTTTGAGTGACATTTGTAAATGTGGCTTTACAACGAATTCCCAGAAAATTCATTAAAAACTTTTAATGTGTTGCTTTTGTCGCAATGAATGAACGAAGCGTGTAATGTCACCAGAAATTTTCCGGTCTGAATATTTCTGCATTTTATTTGTTTATCACATCAATTTACTGTTTAACTTTCAAGACGTAGACACATTGGTATCGCGACCGAGTAGTATGAGTCAAATAAATAAATTATAAATTGTTATGAGGCATTTTTATGCCACCTCAAATCCTGAATCTGCAAAGGGACAGAAAAATGGATTCGAATCATAAAATATGCATTTCACGTGTGTCTTTTTTGTTTCTTTCGAGAAGAAGATATAAGACCGAGTTAAAAACTATTTCAATGCGATTTTCATCTATGCTAAAAGCAATGTCACATGATTTTAAGGAGGCTCGAAAATATTTTTGCCGGAAAAGTTTATGTAAACTGGATGCCATGCCATTTCACTGCACAAAATATCTAGGGGATAGACACCAATTTCTAGTATATTTAGTTTCATTTAATATGTATCTCTTTTAGTTTCTTCTAGTTTCTTTTAGTATATGCAAAAACGCAAATATTCTGCTAGTATTTCTAGTATTGAGCTAAATGAATCGAATTGCCGGTGTGAAGACATTTATACGGAGAACAATAGAAATTGTTCTCACTGAACGAAAATATTTTGTTTACAAAAATGTACCATTAATCTCATTATAAGAAAAGTATTGGCAATGTATTTTGTATGGATCGGTCGAAGAATCAATATGAACATTTGTTCTCAAATATTCTTTTAGTAGCATCTAGTAGATTCTTATTATATTATTAGTATCATATAATTTTTGTTAGTAAAAAGAGGGAAATATTTTCTTTTTTCTCCTTGTTTCGTTCGAACGGTACCATCGTAAAACATCGTTAAATTCAGATTCATGTCATAATAATAGTATTGATTCCTTATGTGATCACCTCCGTCGCTATGACGCTTATTTGCTTGGTCCAAATATCTGAACAATTCTTGAAATTTGTCGAATTTTATTTTCCAACATTTATCCAAATTCCACGAAATGTTGTAGATTTGAAGAAGCCTTAATGCTTTATCGGGGCATGTCATTCCATTACCGTGTAGGAAACAAGCTAAGCCAATTCTTTCGGAATATCTGAAGCACTTTGTCAATAAAATTTCGATCACATAATTTGGCCATGTTTCTACTGCATTAAAATAGTCACTTAGTTCAATTTTATAATTTGAGATCCATGGTATTTTTTTTTCTCTTAATCGAATTTTCGCAACTATATGATTCCTTTCAATTTCTTTTTTTGAATTGCACACCAGATACAACATATTTTCCGGAATCAGCGTGGGTCTTCTCAAATGAATTTCGGCTCTCTCGTACGATTGATTGAGTAATTCATCATTTCCATCATTTAAATCACTCAATGTAATATCTTTTTCGATTTGGCTTTCAATTTCGTCGTTCGCTTTATTTAATAATGAATCTTCACTCACTTTATTTAAATATTTGTCGTATGCTTCGTTTAAAATGCGACTATCATCGTCATCATCACTTGAAAAAAGTGTTTCGACGGTTCCGATAAATAATTTTCTTCTTTTTGCCATTTTTTTAGAGACGTATTTTTCAAAAAAACAATATTTTTCTTAAAGTGTACTAGTTGAAATAAGACAAAATACTGAAAATTTTCTAAGAATTGGCCACACATATTGCTTATCACATTAGGTCATTTTTTAATAATTTTTTATTATAACCATATGTTTACTAACAAACAAAAAAACACTAGACCACATGACAGCTCATATTGCCTTAGACCATATAGATAGTAAAAATATAAAATTTAAAAAAATAGTATAGTAAAAATGTTTGTCTACCCCCTAGCAAAATATTAACATTTATTTATTTCATACACATTGTATGTGCCATACCACATCTCCAACATAGTTCAGAGTTGTAGTGCCGCATGTGCGATAAAGTGAATGAGATAGTCATATACATACAAGCGCTTATAATACATTTTCATTAGATTTTCCGTATGTGTGCATTGTGGAATTCAGCGAACACAGAATAATGCATTTGATCATAAAATTGTTGTTGTTACAAATGCATTCATTTATTTAAAAGTGTGTACATTGTGCACGCAATGATTATACACATATTCCATTAGGAAAAAAATAAACCAACAATTTCACCGTGAACACTTTGCACAAGTTTGCGAGTCACGGAACAAAATTTCGGGAATTTCTTTGTAATGAGAATAAATTGTATACACTTTGCATGCCAGAAAAATTGACGACGCAACCTCACCCTCCATCGCTCTGCTTCCGGGAAGAACGTAAATTTTATACTTATCGAAACAAATTACTTCATTGAAGTTTAGTCTTTGAGGTATTTACATTGATTTTTCGGTAATTTGTTCCGTTTTGCTCAATTTGCCAGCGAAACAATGTAGAAATTCGATGATTTGACTTGGGAGCCAAGAGTTTTATCAAATAACTTTGTTCATTAGATTGACATTGTTTCGATAGAAAAGCTAACATTCGGTTTTCTTGAACCAAAATGTTGTATCATTTATTTATTCCATCCACTACAAGATTGATTCTTATATGATAATAGAAGGCGCGAAAATATTTATTTTACACTTATTTTTGTCAATTTTTTGTCAAATTGAACTATAGTGGGTAAGTAACAGGTATGAAAGTATAAAACAGCAGACATTAGTCGAAAACATGGTATTTGGTTTGCCGGTAAATGACAACTATCTCTGAGATATTGCTCATTGAAATCACAGCAACTGTTGATTTAAAATGTCTTATGTAAATAAATTTATTTTAAATCATATGCATATAGTAAGTTTGTTCATTTACTGCATTCGGTTTAAATCGCTTCATGAAAGTTGATGAGTGGTGACAACGAATATGGTGAAGTTAAAACATTAATTTAATTTTGTTGTTTAATTATAATTGAAAAAATCACTTGATAAAATATTTCAAGCATTTTCTTTTTATCAAGATGAAGTATATTATCTCTGCTTTTATCGTCGCTCTGCTCTTCTTGACTACAATTCAAGGCGGTGAGTTGATATCATTGCTCTTTATTTCGAATGATATAACATTCATTGATTCAAAACTATTTTTCAGGATTGACTGCTGATGTTAAAGGAAGAACATGTGTCGATGGAAAAACTTATTATGACGGTTGTAATCAGTGTGTTTGTTTCGATGGGCATGTTGGTTGTGGTCTTTCACAGTGTTTCAAAATGATCGCAGAACCAAATGGAGAATATTTGCCATACGAGCCAATACCACCACCGAAAGACTTCTGGATGCACTAAATATTTGACTTTGACTTTTGTATTTTGTAAAAAGAACACATTTCAATGAAAATTATAAAATCATTCGATATATGGTAAATAAAGCAAATTAATGTTGAAAACTTATGTCAAAGACAAAAGTGCGATTGTCATCGGATGGATCAGTTATTTAATCAGTTTTACATTTTAAAAGATTAATTATGACTCCTTGTTTGTATTTTACTATTTTTTGGCAAAGAGTAATTGTTCAAAAAATTCGTAAATTTAAGAATACTTTCTTGAAGATCGACATTTAAATTTTCCTTTTCGGTAAACATCATACCAATAAACCACATCGAACAGTATGGTGCGATGATCAAATGATGATCTGCATCGGTTATTGTGTTTTGCGTCTCTTGACGATCAAAACATTTTGGATTTTCATGTGCCAATTTAAGTTTTAGATGTTCATCTAAATATCCAACCAAATCACGAACTTTTGATTCAATGAAACCACGCCACGCTAAATGATCCTCTGCCGTTTGTGAGCCCACCAAAACCACAAGAAAATGTCGATATCTGCGATAAAATAAAAATGAAATATATTAGCGGAAAATTCAATAAAGTAATATTAACAAAGTCCTATTTAGTATTATTATTAACAAAAAATAGTCATAAAAATACTTACTTGCGAAAGAAGTTTAGTTCTTCGAATAGTTTATCCCATGTAGCTTTTTTCATCATAACTTCTTCAGTAATGCCATGTCCACGTTCCAATTCCATTTGAATAACCTTTTTTGTTGATGACGACACATTGAATGTCGAATTCATTTGTGGATAAGCTGGCGTAATGTATTTATGGATCCCATGCTCGAAAGCCTAGATTTGCGTTGTCAAGTGGTTTCAAGAGAACGGGATTTGACCATTCCCAACGTAAAAAAACTAAGAATAATTTATGAACAATTGTTGCGACGAAGAATTTATGAGCATTTTTTGGCCTCAAACTTTACGCCGCTTGAAGGGCTTGAAAAATCAAACAAATATTATTTTGAACTAACTTAATAAAATACGCAACTACCACCATGCGGAAAAGTTCGTCTTACTCTCGTAAGACTCTTTATTTTTTGTATGGAGTTGTACTATGTAAAAAAAAATTATGTAACGTTCTTCAGATTCCGTTTTTGTATTGCCATATTCATTCTTACGGACACACATGTATTTCTTCTTTCACTATGGTGTGTTCACTTGGATGAAATTAACACCAAAAATAGACTAAAATAGAGTGCGTAACTCATTTTGAAGGGTAGACTCTCTGCTAACACCACAAGTGCGGGTAGCCGTACTCGAATATTTGTTTCTGTGTATTGATTGCGGCGTTACAGACATGAAATTTATAAATAACAGTAGCCATTAGCTAGGGGAAGGCACAGGATCTAATATTGCTAATTTTTTCTATTTTTTAGTATAGCATATAACGTGTACATTTCACAGGACAAAATAAGTCCTAATTTTTCTTATTTTTTTTTAATTTTCTAGTTTGTGTCAACCACCTAGACCATTAGTCAAAAACATGGTGTTTGGTTTGTTGGTTCATAAACAAAGTATGATCTGTGGCAAAAACAACCAAATTCGATAGACACATTAACACCGGGGTCAATCCGATTAATATTGCTAAATTTGGGTCCAAAATAAATAGACGGCTATCGCTGAGATATTGCGCATTGAAATAACTGTACTGCACAGTAATTGTTATTTTTACATTCTTTTTTTTCTAATAATTGCATAAATTAACATTCGGCGATTTAAAGCTTCATGAAAATTGATGAGTGGTGACAACTAATACGATGAAATTAAAACATTAATTTAATTTTGTTGTTTAATTATAATTATAATTGAAAGATTCAGTTGAGAAAAATCAAGATGAAGTATATTACTTGACTACAATTCATTCATTGCATTGCTCTTTATTTCGAACGATATGAAAATCATTGATTCGAAATTATTTTTCAGGATTGGCTGCGTCTGTAGATTTTAACAGAAGAACATGTGTCCAAGGAAAAACTTATAATGATGGCTGTAATAGGTGTTATTGTGCCGGAGGGACAACGGTCATTTGTACTTTGATAGGGTGTTTCACCTTAGGACCTAATGGAGAACATTTGCCACACGAACCAATACCTCCACCGAAAGACTTCTGGGCGCAATAAATATTTGCATTTAACGTTTGTATTTTGTAAAAAGAACAGATTTTAATGAAAATTATAAAATCATTTGATACATGGTATACTAGTTATATATTATGAATAAAGCAAAATGATGTTAGAAATAAATAAATATGAAAATGTGAAACAGACAACGAAAGTAAGTGACAAATGCATAGACTATCTTAAGTTGCCTCATATGTATGTCGGTTTTACATTTTAATCTATTAATTATGACTCTTTGTTTGTATTTTACCATTTTTTGGCAAAGCAATTCTGCTTCCAAACATTTAACATACCAAATGTTATCTGCCGAATGAACTTCAATTGTCAATGTAAATATTGTTTGCGGCGTTTTTTAATCAAAATCACGGACTACCCCAGATTGAACTCGAGGTCAATCTGATTAATATTGATAGAATTTGGTTCGAAATAAAGCATTCTTGCTTACAGCCATCTCACGTGCAGCTATCTCTGAGACATTGCTCATTAAAATCACAGTAACTGTTGATCTAAAATTTCTTATCTGTTTATTTCTAAATAAATTTCGTTCAAATCATATTCATAAGTTCATTCATTTACTGCATTCGCTTTAAATCGCTTCATGAAAGTTTATGAGTAGTGACAACAAATACGGTGAAAATAAAGCATTAATTTAATTTTGTTGTTTAATTATAATTGAAAAATTCAGTTGAAAAAAAAATCAAGATGAAATATACTATCTCTGTTTTTGTCGTCGCTCTGCTCTTCTTGACTACAATTCAAGGCGGTGAGTTAATTCCATTGCTCTTTATTTCGAACGATATGACAATCATTGATTCGAAATTATTTTTCAGGATTGGGTTTTGTAGATTTTAACGGAAGAACATGTGTCCAAGGAAAAACTTTCAATGACGGTTGTAATCAGTGTGCTTGTGACGGAGGGACAAGTGTTATTTGTACTGAAAGGGCATGTTTAGGACCTAATGGAGAAAATTTGCCACAGACGCCAATACCACCGCCGGAAGACTTCTGGGCTCACTAAATATTTCCATTTGACTTTTGTATTTTGTTAAACGAACACATTTTAATGAAAATTATAAAATCATTTGATACTCGTATTTGCGTAAATGCCGTAAATTAATGTTGAAAAATTATGTCTAACGATAAGACAAAAATGTGATTGACAAGATGGATCATGTATAGAAAGAAATCAATAAATATTTATTGTGGCGTTTTTTAATCAAAATCACGGACTAACCCGACAAAAACGGGAAATCAATTTTCACAGAAAAAAATCCGGATATTTTGAACCCAGAAATCGGTTTAAATCACAGCGGAACATGATTAAATTAACCGAAAAACCGAAAAATCGGATAGGACTTAAATTTGAGACTTTCAGTGAGACTTGAATCTGTATTTCAGCGTTCACTATCATCTCACGCATTTCTCTCACAGTTTATTTATATAATGAAAACTGAAAAAATCTTCAAATCGATTTTTCTCGCTTTTCCGATGGGAAATCGAGGAAAATAACGAAAATTCGGTTTCCGAAAATTCTAAACTGATTTCTGGGTTCAATATATCCAGATTTTTTTCTGTGAGTATGAAAATGTAAAACACACAACGAAAACCAGTGTAAATGACAATGAAATGCATAGAATCTCTCAAATTGTGTCATATCTATGCAAATTTTACATTTTATTGAATTAATTACGACTCTTTGTTTGTATTTTATCATTTTTTGGCAAAGTAATTCTGCGTCCAACGTCACATACAACATACTTGATTTGAGTTTTTAAATTGACCCAATGAACATGCATTATTATTACATTATTTTGCATAAGATTTCAAAATGACATTTCATCCAGAAAAAAAACCAATACGTGCAAAAAGTGCACGCACAAAAGTCGTGTTCAAAAAAATCGGGTACAAAAATGGGACCACCGATAAAATCGCAATAACTAAACATTTTTATGTCTCTATTTTATAACAAATTTTATTCGAATGAAACATAGCTCAGGTATATAAGTTTTTTTATTTACTTCAATATGTATAAATCACTCTATCCAACAAAAAAACACGGATACGACAAGAATAAGATTTTAAATTGATCTTGTTGGTTGCAAAAAAAAAAATCTTTTAAATTTAAACAATTTCATCAAGATGAAGTATATTGTCTCTGTTTTTATCGTCGCTCTGCTCTTATTGACTACAATTCCTGGCGGTGAGTTAATTTTTGTGCTTAAATAGTTTTTTTATGTCCAACGAATATAATCGGAAATATTTCACAGGTTTGACGGAAGATGAAGATTTTAACGGAAAAACATGTGTCAATGGAAAAACATATAATGACGGATGTAATACTTGTGGTTGTAGCGGGGGATTGGTTTTTTGTACTCTAAAATACTGTACTGGAGAAAATGGAGAAGCTTTCAAGCCTATTCCACCGCCGGAAGACTTCTGGATGCAATGAACATTTACATTTGACCTTTGAATTTTATAAAAAGATGAATTTTTCAAATATGATGTATTAAATTATGGTTAATAAATATGAAAAAACGGCCAACAAATTTGTTCACGCATTCGAGTATAAAATTTACATGTATTAGACTACTGATTAGAGTAATGTCAGTGAGTTCAATTGATCAATGTCAAAAGACAATGTTCTGTTGTATTTCTTAAACGTTCGTTGCAATATCGATGTTTATCGAATAAATTGAATTGCATATCTTTTATAGAATGATTCGATACACTGTTTCATTATATTAGTATCCTAAATGCACTGCACTTGAATGAGTGCAAATCAAATGAAGATTATATTGGAAAGCATCAAAATTGAACTTTTGAATGTAAAAACCTGCGGGTATTTTTATGGTCAGTGCTAAAATATGTTACGGTTTTATGAGCTAGAGCAATACAATTTCTCAATTAAGACTGGAGAGCGGAGACTCATGAAGAAATCAACGATGGACCAAATCGATTTAGAGAAATACAAACTGTGAAGCATTTCCATCTAGAGTAAACGAATTGCCACTATGATGCCATGCGCTGTTGTTATCCAACAATAGTGATGATAAACGTGACAACTCTTGTGTATCGCGTTCTCTTGAAATACATATATCCTCTATAAAATGGAAAAGTCATGAAATTTAGTGCATCACGTACAAAAGCGTTTAATTTATTGCAAACTTTTAAATAAATAAAGATCAATTTCCATTTGTGGAGCGTTTGATTCATGATGTGTGGTATTTTGATAGTGGCCACAGTCGATATGACGGCAGAAGTAAAAACAAAATCGGAGTCGAATGAAGCAGCAAGCGAAATGGATCGTCGACCATTTAGCGCTTGGAATGAACCTAATCGATTGTCCATAAAATCCATAGTGAATCCATGCGACGCGTTCAGAGCGAAATTTTATGACTTTTTGCGTACTCAATTTTATTGCTACTTCACATTTTCACATATTCAACAAGAAGTATTTCAATGTGATTGGTTTCAACCATATCACAACTCAAATAGTTACGAAATTATAGCCAAAAAAGATGACAATAGCGACATGGAAACTTAAACACATATAAATTACCAACAAACACCACATACATGAATGAGACTCAAAAACGGAAAATGTAAAGTGTTCCGTCAGTACATTCACCCAAATTGCAAACAGATGATATTTTTTTCAGACGGAATAAGAATCCCATTTATTATAAATGGCAGTTTAACATTTTTTGCCTCTGTGAGTGTTGTTTTCCGTTTCTTTTGAATATATTATGTGATGATTTTTGCACCATTTGCTACATTCAATAATTGATTCCCATGCTACTGCTTTATCAAAGGGTTTTTTATAAAGTTTTTCAGGCAATGCATTATTTTCGCCATTCATAAATGAATTCTTTTTCAGAGAACTCTCTTTGTGATTGAATGCATCATATGTGATTCGTTTTCATTGCTAAACCAATTTAACAGTCAATTTAAATACAAATATTTGAAACACAGTGCAAAGCGAGCAATTCAAACATGTTATCGTGCATTTGTGAGATAGCGTTTGAAATGTTGATTAAATTTCACAATTAATAATTAATTGTAGATTGAACATTCAATGGGATGGTTATTTATTGTGACCACAAATTGAATCATGAATGATTTCCATTATATATAAATTGTTTGAACACGTATACGATCCCTGTAAATGTGATGGTGTTCAATTTCATTTTTTATTCTGCTGGAGGAAGAAATTTTAATTTCGAATTTACATGAATATTTTAAAAAGTTCTTTTGGTTAAACTTTCTCCTATCAAAATGATCTTATTTGAGTTGGATGCCACGAAATGAATGCACGTTATTTTTCATCCCGATTCAAAATTCATCAAGTTTTTTAATAACTCAATCAACTCAAACTTGAAGGATTCAATGGAAAAGAGACAAAATAAGTTAACGATTAAGCTGGTCTCAAGTAGGGTGACTTTTTGCGTATCATTCTTCAAATATTGTAGAAGAACGTCACAAAAATAATTGACGGAGTGATAACTTATAGGGGAAAAATTCTTGCACAGACGTGCGAGATGCAGAATTGAACTGTTAGGTACAGAGGTTGCTGACAAAAGCCCATTTTGATTGTGAAAAATTATCGATTTTTTTTTTATCGCTCGTTCAAATCGTACTTGTTTATGATTTTTTAAATGCTTTTTACCAGGAAAAAATGTTCAAAATAGTCTTTGCAATTGATACACCGAAAATGATTAGGGACCAAGAAAGAACCATAACATAAAAACACGCCAAAATGATGGTCTTGTAAAATCTATGGTGAGCAACAAAAATTACTTAATGATTGGGAGCAATACATAAAAAAGTGTACGAAGACGATGAAAATCTGTAAAAATGAAAAAAAATCTTATAAGTGCCCACTCAGAACAATACATTACGTAGCATTTAACTCATCATTCTGATTTAATGGTCGTGAAATGTGGATCCAGTGGATTTACGGGTATTTTTTATAATAAATCGTTTTCAAATATTCACCAAAAATGTGTAAAGTTTATAAAATATATTTTAGACATGTTTTTGCTATAAAAATTTATTGCAGGAACATCATAATGTTTCATTTATTTTTCTTTCTGTTTATAATTTAAGTGTACACGATAGTCATGTCACGATTGTTTGGAATGATAAAACTTTTTACAGGCAGTGCTTAGCAAATCTCAAATTCTCTATTTTATTGGAATACGCGCCTTATAATATGACTTTGATAATCATGGTAAATGGCGTTAAACTATCTAAGACATTCATGGTTTTTAATGTTTCACCAAAGATGCTAAAAAATCTATTCATTCTGTTTTCAGAGTATTTTGCACCAAAATTATATTTTGACCGGAAATTTAACGTCTTTTCGCTATTAAAGCGAGTGAATTTGTTCTACTATAGTATATATATATATGTGTAAAAATAAAGAAAAAACATATATTTTCTTGAGGTGTGAGCGTATTTTTTTAATAGTACACAAACATTTTACATAACTGTTTAACAATAGATGTAGATTTTATTTGCGTCATTCAAAATATTTAATATATAGATATTAACATAGTCCATTATGTAGGAATTTGTATTCTAAAAATAGTGGAAAGATAATTATATTTTACGTATGATTCCAGATTGAATGTTGGTATTATTATACTCACTTCCACCTTGTGTATTTACAATGGTCATATGTAAACGAGAAGGAAAGTTTTGATTATTTCCACTTTTCAAATCTTTTGCACAGATGTCTCCTCGACAAAGTCCAAAAATACATGCAATAAGAGCGAAAATCACAAGAAGGTATTTCATTTTGGTAGACTTTTTAACAGGCGGAATGTTAAAAACAGACTATTGCTTGTGGTGTATTAAATCGCTGTATTTATAGTGGTTAGTGGCTGTTAAAAATTCTAGTTTACGTGGACCATTTTCATGGAATATTTGGAAATGTGATTGAATAATTAAACAAACTCAAAACTGATAGAAATCTTAATGCGCAAAAATGATAAGATTTTATTTTATGTATGGCTACCCGAGTGAAAAATGGCATTGAATTTTTCAATGCGTAGTGTCAAACGGCATTTAAGCAATAAATCGAGACCGCATGGTCCGTGCGCACGTTGAGTGCATACACCACATCGCTATAGCCATGCGGTGTCGATTTATTGCTTAAATGCCGTTTGACACTACGCATTGAAAAATTCAATGCCATTTTTCACTCGGGTACTTGTATATACCTGTCGTAGAAAATTTGATGATGATGATGATGGAGAAAGAGATTAACATCGATTGAAATTTATTTTAGTGATGAATGATTGAATATGCGATGTGAATAAAAGTATATATATTAAATTTACCAGTCATATTTGCTGTGCGTCTCAAACAACCAACCGCGTGGCACTGGCAACGGTTGTTGTTGCCGTCCTCG